CCCCAAAACCCCAAAACCCCAAAACCCCGTATTTCAAAGTATGAGGTGAATTTCAAGATTGAAGGTAATAAATTAAAACTAATAATTATGTCCCAGAGATTTTAAAATGGGATGCATCTCTTCAATCTATGCTAATCCCCAAAATTGAGCTCAAATCTTAGTCCTACCTAGGTCGATAAGTTTTTCTTGAGACCCTAGTAAGATATGATATTTCAAGAAGAACCAAGTCTTAACTCTTTGCCTATGATTGATTAGACTGCCTTCATGAATGACATAGATTATGAAATGAATCATAATCACCTAAATAATCAAAACAACATCAATCACAATGAGACAAGTTTTGATGAAGACTTGACTCAAGATTTTATCAATGATATAAGCGAGCATAATAGAAGAGAAGATCATCTGAATGATAATATGATGCAAATATAGGGTTCAAACTAATTATTCTCCCCAGAATTTAATGGAAATAATCAGATCCAAACTCTTACAGAGTACAATAACGTAATGACAGAAGGGGGACAGGTAGAATTTAGTTAGATACAGATGAGCAGCTTTAACACCCTTAATTCAAACAAGTATTTGATTTAACAATAATAATAACAGTTTCAATAGATGTTGCAGCAACAATAGATGAACATTGAGTTCAATAATAATAATATATCTGAGGACGATAACTTCCTCGATACTACTCTCATTACGAGTTTAGATTTTAGTTGAGCACTTTAGAACTTAAGCAACCAGAATTTAGAAGATTTACTCGACTTTGATCCTCCAGAGGCATTTATGAAAATAGGATGTACTACTCAAGATAACAATAACAACAGTTCTCACATGAATGATCAATCTCAGATATCTAATAATTCAAACATTATGCATAACTCAAATAACATGGATGGGAATAGTGGTAACATGAATAGTGATCAAAGCACCTCATTCCAGAAGAAAGTTTTCAAGAAATCATAACTCAAAAGTCCAAGAAATAAAAGAAGAAATTATGATTGACAATGCTTCACAAATAGCGGTGGATCTGGAGCATTCGGATTATCATAGTGCTCCTCAGGTGGAATGACTTCAACGAGTCTCGGCGATAGAAATTCGTGTAACACCAATTTTCTTGGCATAGGAAATCAAAATTCTGTAAATGAACTAAATAATGACAGTGGAGGAGGTGGCAATTGTCCTGGGGAAGATAGCTTTGGTACTCAAAGAGGATCTTTTTACAGATAAAGCACCAGTTTTTAGGAGATCTTCCAAATACAGAAAATATATAGAGATCAGTTTTTGAGTCGACCTATGATATCGGAGAATATTCTTGAAGACTTTGATGAACATATGGATTCCATTGTCGAAGAACACGAGGATGAAGAAGAAAAGATTCCTCCTTCAATAGAAGGGTTTTAACTCAAAGACAAACTCAATAAGTTGCATAGGAAAAAGTTTAGCTATTTCTTTAAAAGAACATGCTTTAGGCTAATGATAGAGTTCTTCAAGTATTCTTTCAATAGCTTTGTTAAAATAAAAAAAGTTCACAGTCATCTTAAAACTCATATGTAGAATTACATTCTTGGCAAATTCTAAAGTATTTTGGACTTTTTACCTGATGTCTAGATGAGAAAAGACTTTAATACGAATGTAGCAATGATTGTCCATCCACATAGGCATAACAATTCAAGCTTATTAAATTTGTCTGTCTCCTCTAATAACTCGGAGGATTAATCATTTTCTGAAATGGATTTCTCAGTAGTTAGAGACACAATGTACAAATATTCCTAAAAGGCTCACCAGAGATTTTTCTCTGTCCCTGAGCTCAGTTTCTTGTTCATATACTTCGCAACCAATTAGAAAGCAATCGCTAGAACAAAGCAAAGAATGGACAACAAGGGTATTGAATATTGTAAAAGAATACTAAAGGACATCGATGAGATGAAAAATGAAGCCCTCATCTAGCTCTAAAATCAAGCTGTGATGCAACATAACGAGAAAGCTGCGATATATCTCTAATTGATATATAACAAATAAAAAGCTTAAATTATGGAAATCTGACACGATATTTGAGAGTTTAAAAGTAATTCTCTTAATAAAAGCTTTGGTAGAAAGATTTAATAGCAATTAAGAATCAAACTTCTATTACTTTCACTAATATTTACTTATCCTTAATATAAATTAAATTTTCTGATTAAACATCTTCTTATTGATAAATTACAAATATGGGGTTTTGGGGTTTTGGGGTTTTGGGG